CATCTCTTACTCATCCTATGGTGCGATACGTCGCAATTCTTTCATCATTGTATTATTCATCGCACTATGGTACATGTGACTAACCACTCTTCGATTAGTCATGGACACTTCTCTGTAGTATATAAGGACTTCAGATTGCGTCCTCCCTCTTCAGTCTTTCCTTACTGACTGAAGAGTGAGTACTTCGTTACATCTACCTCTAACTTGTAGTTACTTACTTAACCTTTGTAGTCTTGCTTCGACTCTAGGTACAGTTCGTTGCTGCAATATAGTCTTTCCTTACTGACTGAAGATCTTGCTTCGACTCTAGTCGGATCTAATCTTTGTCTTCACAGCCCCGAGTTTATCAGGTGGGGCGGACGACCAAGGTACATTGAAAGATTTGGTGGGCTGAATCGCAGGCTCGCCGGCGTAAGTTGTAGGGCCTTGTGCGCGGCCGAGCTACTCCGGTAGCGACACCGAGTCTTCGTTGCATGAAGAACCAGCCTGCGCTCCATCGGGGTTGAAAGGCCAAGCCCGAGCGGTATTTCTACGCACCTGCCAGGAAAGAACGTGTATGCACGAGCACGAGCCACCTAGACAGGCCAGACATGTTTATGAAACCCCGCCCGGACGTAGGAGGGTGGCTGGCGGGGGACGTCAGATATGCTCGCGGCATAACTACCAGTTGCCCCATGTTCGACGAGGCTCTAGGAACAGATTGAACCCCAGCTGAGACTAAGCGGATGATGCAAGCTTTGTGCCAAGGAGAACGAGCCATGTCACGTCAGTCGTACATCAGCAAAACCATCATCCAATGGTGTTGCATGGCCACGGCGCTCGAAACTGGCCTACCCTTCCCGGAAATCGCAAGTGCCGCCTCATACCGGCCAACTCCCATCTCGCCCGACAGAATCTGGCAGTTAAACATCTGCGCAGATGGACACCGGCAATGGTAGATAGGTATGTATCTTGCACAATCACTTCATACCTATCACTTGTCATTACTAGCCGTTGCACCACAGCCGCCTCCTCCTCGGCAACCCTGACCAACATCTCCCCGATCTCCTTCTCCCTCTTTCGAGCACGCTCCTCATCCATGTCCGTACTCCCTCCGCCTCCGCCTACTCCGTCTCCTGGTTTGTGACGCTAGGCGAGCTCTGTCTCTGCGCTCCTCCTGCTCGCGCGCCGTGCGCCAGATAGATTCGGGCAAGTGGCAGTGTCGGGTTTACGAGCGGAAGGACAGAGACGGGTGCCCCATAGATGCCACACCTAGTCTATCAGGCTAGCTCGACCTCTTGTGGCTCTCGTTATGTCTACCTTTAGCTTACTGCATTGCACCTCGCTGGCAAGTCTCACTGACCCCGACATGAAAAGCGCTGAACCTATGGTCACCTGTGACGCGCAGCTATCGTGTTTGTCCCAAGTGGGCGATGTTCCCTTCACGATCCTCACCCTTCTACATGGACTCTCAACAAATCACTGAAGCCTGCCCATCGATGACGCGCAGTCTATACTTGCAATCTAACTTGTCATCCTGCCAACCCTGCCCTGAACTGTCGCTCCCAAAACCCCTCACCTCTTGACTGTACCCCTTCCAGTCCGTCTTCACCTTGCCCAACCACGAGCGCGCGCCCACGAAGCTCTCTACCTACCGTGAGTTCGTATTCATGCTTCAGGGCAACGTCTACCTCCGCTACAACCCTTTCGCTACTCCTGACGATTTCAAGAAGTAGGTCTGCCCGTGTAACCCCACCACTTTGAGATCGGCCCTGTCTACTCCGCACGTGTATGTCCCCTCCCTCCTTCCCCGGTTGTCGTGAACATCTCACTCCAAACCCTGCCTGCAGCCCATGACAAGAAGACAGTCCGCCTAGCCACATTCGCCCAACAGCTTCATGAGCTTGTCTTTGACATCGACATGTTTGACTACGACCCTGCTGCGCCGCCGCCGATATCTGCCGCCCTGCTAGCAATTTCTCGCTGTCCATGACCAATGCAGCTACATCTACCTTCTGCTGTTCTCGACGCCCAAGCATCCCTTCGATTACTTGGCGGTGAGCCTAGTGCTGCGTCTTCACCTCGACTAATGTGTAAGTCTCTCATGTTCCTTATTGGGTCGCTTTGGCTTGGACAATGTTGCGCACTGACAGCTCTAGTGCTACTAACCCTAACCACGCCGAACTCTGCG